CACACRGGCTGGGACACCTCGTCTGCATCCACACACRGGCTGGGACACCTCGTCTGCATCCACACACRGGCTGGGACACCTCGTCTGCATCCACACACGGGCTGGGACACCTCGTCTGCATCCACACACRGGCTGGGACACCTCGTCTGCATCCACAACGGGCTAGGTCGTTTCATTTGCATTGCTCCTCGTGGTGCTGCTGCTGAAGCAGAATGCTCCAGGGAGAAAACCTAAAGTACTGATATGATAATACATCTCTCTCCTTTGCCCAAGAAGCTCCAAGCTTTCCCCAGCGGGTGAACCTCCTTCAAGACAGAAGAAATAACTCGGGCAAAGCGGGTAGCAGTTGGGTGGTTTGCTGGCCCGTACCAGGGACTCTGTGATCCCCTGCCAGCCTCTGGTCCTCGCACCCTTCATCCACTGCCTGCCCCCGTGCTGAAAGGGCGTCTTGGGACAGTTCACTTCTCCCTCCTGACTTCAAACTGGCATCTTCTGGAGTGGTGGAAAACATACCTTGCTTTTTGAGGTTGCCAAACTTGTTTTGATCTTCAGGCCTTTGGCAGGTTTCGTGTTGTTGTTTTCTGTTTGTTTTTCCAGAGAAACAGTGAAATGTGTTTTTTGAGTTCTCTTGAAATTATTTTAAGTGATGGACTAGCTTGAAAGGGATGCAGATTTTAGCCTAGCAAAGGAAAGGCTTAAGTTTTGATTATAAAATTGGAAGCAGTTCTTACAGAAAAATGTAAAATCAGGAAACACAAAGTCAGAATAGACTAGTGTTACTTGAGCTGTTTCTAATTCCTTTTTGAGCTGCACAAGCTGTGTGACTAACTCAACTGCTCCTTTGAGGTGCTGTCAAAGGGGCCTTCTCCCAGTTTTCCTTGGGGTCATCAGCATGCCACTTGAGTACTGATGAATCTTCAAAACACCCACCACTTCTTTCCCTGTCTTCCCTTTCTAACTTAAGATGCATTGTGCTGCGGCTTTGAATGGTGTCTGTGAGAAAATAAATAAAATACTGTGTCAGGTTAGGTTTGGGGCTGTTTAGTCTTCAATACGTGAGGTTTTTGATGCATGGCTTTCTTGCACAGATTTATCTTTTTGGTTACAGTCAGTTGAGTTATAGTTTTTATGCTCAACAACAAGGTTTACCATACTGAACTTTATGATGACTTAATAAATTAATTATAAATTATTTATTTATAACAGCTTGGATCTGTGCAACACGTCTGTGGGATCACAGTTTCTGTGTGGCTGTTGGGTTCCGGTAAAGACCGCACGAGTGTATTAGTGCTAAGCACAGCTGGTGGAGTATTGAGGCTGCCCCTGCGTGCTGGGGACCACCGTGTGGAGGTGCTGCTGCTGTGTCCTGCCTGCCTGGAGGGCGCCCGTTTTCGGAGCGGGGGCAGAGGAACCCCGGCTGGTTGGGCTCGTTCCCACTCGAGGGCTGGACTGTCTGGAAGGTGCTTGAACGAATGGGCTGAAGCGCGAGGCCGGTCCCGGGGAGGCGGCCCCCGTGCAGCTTGTCTGTGGGGCACGCGCGGAGGAAAGGGGATGTACGGATTGCATGGGGTAGGGACACGTCCCGGGGAAGTGGAGAGAAGGAGAAGACAAACTCTTCCAGAGGGAAAAGAGGCCATCGGGCAGGCAGTTGGGATCTTCTCCCTGGGCAGTGTTTCTACTACAGCTCCGTGAGCACAACAAGGAGCAACCAAACCAGGCCCTCGTGGTCCCGCTCACCCGCAGGCCTGTGAGTGCCTTCCCCTCCTCCTGCCGGAGCCGAGCGCCCGGGAGGAGCCGCTCCGTGCCCTGCTCCGGCGCGGGAGCACCGTACGGGAGAGGAACGAGCTCCAGACTGAGCTGCTAGCACACACCCAGGGAACCAAAGAGGGATTAACTTGAGGTGTGAAGTTTAAAGCGTATTATTAGGAAGGAGGATTAAGCTAAACGGAGCTAATGACACCGCTTCTGAGGGAGGACCACACAGCGGATTCAGTGCCTTGGCTCCCTGCCTTTTCTTACTTAATGTTCTTAAAAGTATAGGTACGTATAGGTGCATGCCCTCATGTTCCAGAGGCCTTTTTATTCCAGATGTTGACATTCTCAGTTTTCCATGCCGCAAAGTAAATACGCTCTATCAGAAGCAGATCCAGGTTATTTTTCTTAACAGAAAGCAGGGATATGGTGGAATTCTGCTTTACTTTTTCCCCACAGCAGCAGTGGTGTTTGTGATGACTTGGCGGTGTTTATTCTTAGACGAGGCTTCCAGTAAGCAGGAAATAACTTTGTTCATGTTATGTCTATGTGCCCTCATTTGTATGAAGAAATTCTGTCCCGTTTCTCTTAATACGTGAGCCGTTTTACTGCTTTACGTGGCTGTTGTTCTCACAGGGTTGTGGTATCTGGGATGTTGGCATCTAAATTTTCCCAAAGCTCCATGAACTCTTGTTTTACACGGTGTGGATTAAAATCAAGTGCCCTGAATGCGTAAATGCTCATCACGTGCTTACCTGGCGTTAGATAGAGTCATAACTTAACTGACATAACTCAGAGTAAGTAATAATTTGTAAATAAGGAATAAATTGACTGAATTGACTTTCAGGAGGGAAGCTAATTTGAAATTACACCTTTGAGATATGTTAAATAAACCGCTTAGTAACTGGCTTTGTGTACACACCTACACCTTTTGTCACCTACAAACAATGTTATGAGATCTGCCTTGAGAGTAAACAAGAGATAAGTATTTGTAGGCAGATGAAAACCTAAATAAATAGACAAAACTTTTCAGTAAAAGTCTTCTGTGTAGGCAATAGTCATGCGTAAATGTGAATAAATACAAAGAAAAACATGAGAGGTAAAATGCGAATTTCCACAAAGTGCAATGTACAGAAAATAATGTTTTAAGTCAGGATGCCTTTAGGTTGCCTGTCCCAGGGAGTGTTTGGTGAAAGCATCAGGAAGCCCAGACGAACGCTCAGGATGTTTGGCTCTGTTTGCCCCGTGGCCTCGGGCGCAGGGCTGGCACGCGCCGCGTGCGAGCACGTCGAGGGGACGCGGAGCGGAGCTGCCCCACGTGCAGCGTTTGGGGGTGGATCCCGCCTCCGGCATCGCGCAGGGGCAGCTTCTCCCATTGCCTTTCTTCCTGTAGCCCAGGAAGCGTAAGGAAAATAAACAAGCGTGGCTTTACTACTACTACGATGGGAGGAAAAGCTGGAAGCTCTCAGTCTGGAGGAGAGGGTGGAGCTGGGGAAAAGTGCAGGGTCCATATAACAATGGGGAGTCCGTTTTATTAGCGTTAAAGAGTAAAAGAAAATCTGCTCTGGCAATGGTGAAATAAAACACCAGGAAGATTACGTAAGTCTCTGTTTGCACACAGTGTGATTTTTCTCTTTCACCAGCCAATTTGTGTGTTTGAGAAGTCAGTTGCTTGGTTAAAATAACGAGCTGAACTCTGTCCAGTTCCTGAATTATGTTAAAAAATGTTTGAAGAAATATAGACAATTGTTGGGCAATTAAAGGAAAAAATCGCGGTGGTCACTGAGCAATTATAGCGCCTCGTGTAAGTGCCCGCATGTGCATCGCGCTTTCCGAGGGAGGCACGCGATCCCAGCAACTCCTTGCTTTAGCTGCTGCGGTTTGGAATCGCATCCTTAGGAACATAGCGAGATCCCGATTGATTCAGGCTGGAATGAATGCAGGTTGGGCTGCCCTGGGGTCGCTTAAGGAAAGGGAGTTAAAGCCTGAAATGTATCGTCGCGTGTTTGAAGGAATTAATGTAAACCAAATACAAATCACGTCACCTTATTATTTTATTATGAGTCACAAAAAAGCCTGTATTAATGAATAAGATTTTTCATGTTCGTACTCCTTCATTCTAGACTATCGCAGATGATTATTTTTGTTAATCATACACAATTTTAAAATACTTTTTAATGTTTTAATATGAGACCATTGCAGCAAGCTAGTAATTCCCCGTAGGAAGTCTGGTACAGTGTATTAATGTGAACCCCGGTTACTGGAAAATAATTTCCCTTCATTTTTGCTGTTGGTACAAGTTCACCCTTGGAGCTGGACCTGCTGCATTTTCAGGAAAAATTGTAACCAGCTTTGGGGCCTCCGGAGCGGAGGCTGCGGGTGGCGTGTGGGAGTGCTGGCCTGGGTGCTGCAGGCACCCCGGCTGGTCTGTCCACGGCGTGAAAACTGAAACGGCCCAACGATAGAAAGGCAGCAACGTGGACTGGTCCACGATTATTTGTATCTTATTTTACTTTATTTTATTATGTTATGTTATGTTACGTTACCTCCTCCTGGTCCTGCAGCGCTGTGAGCCGTGTCCCTGGGCCCGCAGCACGTTGGGACGCTCGGGTGCTGCCGCAGTGTCCTCGGCAGGGCCGGAGGCTCCCGGTGCCTGGGGGGGCCTCTCCCGCGCCTGGCCTCCTCTGGGACACTGCCTTAAAACACCCGTGTCCCGAGGGCAGCTCCCCCTCCGACTCCGGCTCTGCCCTCTTCATCCATGCTGCTTCCATGGGCCAGGGCAGAGCCGAGCGGACCCTGACCAGCCAAGAGCTCCGGAGCTCCTGGGCTGCTCCAGGGACACAGGCGGCACCTGCAGCTCTAGTGATTCTTCCTCTTGCTTCTTTCCATTTCCAGTCCTTCATGGGGCTCCGTTATCCCTGGTCTGCTGGGTAGCAATGGGAAATCAGCCGCCACCCATGGGTGGCTTAGGCGTTGGAAAGGCTGGGCCCACACACCCCCAAAGGTCATTTTTAGTGATGCTTTTTCCTACCAGTCTAGGAGCACAGGGGCAGGGCAGCCGTGTGGGGCTGCACAGACCCCAGCTTCATCTCAGGGGTCCCCAGCTCGATCTGAGCTTCGAGGCTGCAGCCTGCCCCACTGACCTGCGTGACGAGGGTCTGGTCTGCACGCGCTACCACTGGGGCTGCCCCACACACTGCGGGTTCTCACCTACTAATGCCCTGCTTTGTTCCTGTGTTTTCTTTCAGGGAACGGATGCGCCAGTCTGCCATGTTTGAGCTGTGCCAGGGAATGCACCAGATCAGCCTGCAGTTCGTTCGCTTGCAGCTCAGCTTTGAGGAGTACACTATCATGAAAGTCTTGCTGCTGTTGAGCACAGGTAACGTAGACTCGCAGTTACATGAGAAAACTTGAAATTACTTCAGCTCGTGAGGAAGTGCAGGGATTTTAACTAGTGTAACAAAAGGGCCAGGGCCCTGGCTCTGTCAGGGCCCCGGAAAAAGCCTGTTTTGTGTTTTAGGATTTATGTGCAGATTTGTGTCCGTGAGCACAGGAGGGCTCTGTGCAGACGGAACGTGTCACGTGCACTGGGAGGGCAGGAGGGGCCGGCAAGGGGCTTTGGCCCTGCTCTGTACATGGGTGCTGAGATCAGCCACACACACCGGGAAAAGGCATCCGTGGAGCAGGGTGACAGCTGTGTTGTCCTGCACCGTGGGGACTGGGAAAAACCCTGGCTCAGCACTCAGCCGGCCACCCGTTCGGGTGACTTAATGGCACCTTCAAGATCAAAAGCCGTGCGTTCCCCACCGCACTGCAAGATGTGTGCTTCTCCCCTCGCCAGGTAAAATGAGACTGCTCAGCCCGTTGCGGGGCTCTGGGTGTCTAGTAAATGACAGTGCATAGTAAGTGACAGAGCACGCTCTGTTTTTCTCCAGAGCGTCACGCTTTGGGAGGTGTTAGGATACTCAGCTGCGTCGTGGTGCTCACTGCAACAATGTGGAGCTGCTATTAGCAGATGTCCTAATCTGCTCTTGCAAAAGAGCAAAAACTCCTGCTCCATCATAATTTTATAAATACCCAGGCATTCTGTAAATGTTTTTTCCACTTGTCTGAATGAACAAGCCAGTGAGCTCTAAGCAAACTTTCTCCTGTGTCATCATTCCCTTTTCTGAGGGATTTGCCCGGTGACATCCTCACAAGATAGCTGGGATTGCTGGGAATTTCCGATGTCGCTTCAGGGAGTCCATCAGGCAGGAATTCTGCCGGCTTGGCCACTGGAAAACCTACCAGAAACAGTTGTTTTGTGAGATCTGGGATAGTTACCTAAAGGAGAGAAAGGAAGGAGACAAAAAGGAAAGGAGCACAATGATAACACCCCGAAAATGCCACATGAACAGCAGTGAACCCAGTTTCTAATTATTGCACCTTGATACTACACTGTGATAGAAAACATCAGATTCATTTTCATTTAGATTTTTATTGAATCCTGTGATGAGCAGAGTACAAGTTATTTTGAAACTTTCATGATGACCACATCAAGGAAGTTTCACTCCATTTACATGTGGAAGAAACCACATATTACAACTCAATTGTTTTCTTGCTTTCCACAGACCATAGGTTCTGGGAGCTTGCCAAAGGCACTGCTGCATTTAATAAGTAAAATCAGAAACATTGGGCAAACCTCCAGAATTTCATGTTTTGCTTGAGTTCTCTTTATTTGTGGTCTTTCTTTCTGTCTTAATAATCCGGCTGGGGTGATGCTATAATATTTTTCAGGCAGAGCAGTAAAATATATGGTAGTACACAATGAAAAAAACAGCTGTATCTCACGGTTTTAAGCAGCATTTAGGAAAGCAGACCTGTAAATGTTAAAGAACCCATATAGCCCTTGCATTTTTTGTAAGGGCCATAGTACCTTCCAGTGGCCCTCCTCATCTTGATTGGTGTGTCTGTGTTCATGTGGCTGGGGCTGGGTTTGCACATCTGTTTCAAAACCTTTCTTCTTTCTGTTAGCTGGCTGATTGAAAGGTTTGGCATTCAGAATATCGAATCTAATAGCAAAGAGCAATGACAGTATTTACCAAGGGGTGGAGAGAGTGACACTGTTTCCCCTTCAGACTTTTTCTGAACTCTTAACAGCAGGACGGCATGTGTTGTGTTTCAGAGATGTTATCTCATCCTCTGCCTCAGCTAAACCTTTGGCAACCACAGGTCTGGAAAGGATGCTTCAATTACTGGAAAAATCTATATGATGTTGTTGATTCCGTACCAATGTCTGTAAAATTATGGACTTTACCTAAAGGTTTAATTCTTTCATCCATTAACTAGTGTAACTTTTAAATATGCACATCAAAAGAATAAGCAATACGTTTTATATTAATGTAAGATTGTCTTTTTAATGACAGTTCCCAAGGATGGTCTCAAAAGCCAAGCTGCATTTGAAGAAATGAGGGCAAATTACATTAAAGAACTAAAGAAGATGGTAACTAAATGTCCAAGTAACTCTGGGCAAAGCTGGCAGAGATTCTACCAACTGACTAAGCTTCTTGACTCCATGCATGATGTAAGTACAGCTCCTGCGGGAGCACTGACAAGTTAGGCAAAACCCTCTCCGTTAAGGTAAAACAGCCGTCTTTAATTGTATTAACTCACAGGCAGAAAAAAATCCTCGTTTTTAAAGCAACATCTGAGAGAAGTTGTTAGCAGATGAATTGAAGGAAAGCTGCCAAATAAAACAAGGAAATATGTCATTATGGGTTGGGTTCTGCTGCCTCCTTTGCTTAAAAGGTGGCGTGTTCCTGCAGTGATCCCGTCACGGTGGATACGGGCCGGCACCTGTGGGTCGGAGGCAGGCTGAGGGGGAATGGCGGAGGAGGCTGGCCCCACGCTGGGGACCGAGCGCCGGTGTCCGTGCGGAGCATCCCGGTCGCTTCCCCGCGGGAGCTGCCGGATCCAGCAGGGAGAGGTGCCCCCTGTGCAGGGTTAATCTGATGGCTTCAGAAGAGCTGTTAGGGCTTTGGAGACGTCCCTGGTATTCGAAGCCTTAATGGAGGTTTTCAGGTGTAAAATTAATGGAACTGTTAGGTTGTTTCTGCAGTCCTGTCTCCTTGCACGTGAGGTTTGTCCTTCTGTGTGTATCTGGTGTGAGACGTGGTAAGCGACTTGGGGAGCTTGTGAGTTGGGTGTTGAAGCGCCGGGGCTTTGGTGCCCGGTCCCGCTGCGCCTCGGGGGCGGCATGTGGGGCACAGCATGGGGCAGAGCGTGGGGCAGAGCTGGCGGCTGCCCGGACAGGCCCAGATCGGAAAGTGCCAAGAGCGGAAAGTGCCCCATCGGCCTCCGGGCCGCACGTGGGGCCTGGAGCAGCTGCCGGGCGTCTCCGACCCAGAGCCGACAGCAACCCGGTGGGAAGGCCCCACAGCGCGTGGGGCTCCACACGGCTCCGCATTCCCCTTTCCAGGGGGCAGCAGGACCCGCCATCATCCCCCTCGACCCCTTCGCACCCAGCAGGGCTGCCCGGGCAGCACCAGCCCCACGGCGAGAGCGGGCAGGGCCCGTGGTGAGACTGGGCCAGGCAGGCCCCACGGTGAGGCCGGGCCCGGTGGTCCCCGTGGCATTGCCCGCACTGTGGCTGTGGTGGGAGCGGGATAGGGCAGGGCTGGGGCTGGGGGCCGGCCATGCGGCCGTGGGTGCCGCTGGGCGCCG